TGAAATATCCGGACCGATTTCGGTCCGGATAGTATATATATACGAACCGATTATACGTCGGTCTGTATATTTGACTTATTCGTACCAGGTTTTTTCAGATCAACTATAAGGACCAATATCGGTCCGTATATATATATTCAGACCGATTTCCTATATATTCAGACCGATATTTTGGTTCGGAAATCCCATTCCTGCAGTAGTGGAATGTTGATCGTCTTTCATTCAAATTCAATAAAACTGCAAATCTATTTCGAGTTTCATCAATTAAAATCCTGAATCAAAGATTTTGAGTTGGTTTATTCATGATAATAGTGTATTTCTTAGTTCTGTGTTTTGTTTTCGCAAAATTCACGTTCCGAGAGAGGATAAGAAGTAGGAAAGTTCAGTGCAGAAGGCCCCTGCAGCTGCTGGTCTAGAACCACCAAGAAAGTGGGAGGAAAATGCCACAGATGCACAGCTCTCCATGGACAGAGTAGGTACTTTTTTTTTTTTTGACATATTTACAAGGGCTGGATTAGAATCCTTGTCCGGAGAAGGGAAAGTACACTTTAACGTTGCTTTGTTGTCATTAAACCCGAAGGTCCAAGTGTCGTAAGAAGTACATTTTTAAAATATAATTCTTCTCCATTTAGCATTTTGGTTAATTAAATTGCTTTTGTTTAACCATGTAATTGTCAGCCTTTCAACGGAAACTGTGGACACATTTTTTTGGAGAATGCAGAATGCAGAACATGAATTTATCTCAGCAAGAGAAGGAGAAGTTTAAGGACCTACTCAAGCAAATTTCTCATATTTAAATTTTTGTGTAAGGTATAATGGAATTTGATAGGATCAGGAGAAATTATCTATATGCATTGCTATAATATACAAATATAATATACTTTGCAATTTTTCTTTTAAAAACTCAATATATTGCGAACACTTTGCATAACAGGTTGAAAAATGCTAGTAATAATAAAGAGAGTTTCGTTGGGAGACCCACCCACCATTCTGGTGCGCCACAGCTGGTCGAATCCGGAGTAGTCGCCCCGAATACCGGACGGGAAACCAAAAAAAATAATAAAGAGAGTTAACGCTATTATTTTCATATCTCTCTCTTATATGTTCTTTTCTCTCTCCAAAAATAAAATGTATGTTTGACTGGTAGTAATTTTATAAATTCATTAGGGTTTAAGGGTCTTTTGGTTGAGTTAATGGTAATTGAGTAATTTTTAAGTGGTTTTTGTTATTTAGTATTTATATAAAAAAAATTTTCCTATTGTGTGTAATGACTTTTATTGTAATTATAGTAGATTTTTTTTATCTTTTTTATTTACATAAAAAGTTTGTTTTGTAATTTTTTTACAATGAATTTGGTGTAATTAACTTTCACTTTATATTTCTCTGCATTTGTATGAGAAATTTTTTTTTATTTGAGGTTATTTTTGTAGTAATTATCTTTTTACTTTATATATTTGTGTGAAAAAAATCTTTTTAGTTTAATCTTAGAATTAATTATATTCCAAATCAAATAAATTAAGTTTGATAGGATAAATTTTAGTTTTGCAAATTTTTATTATATAGTATTAAAACATCTTTTAAAACTATTAAAATATTCAAAAACTAATTTATTGTACCTATGATTTTGATGATTACAAAACACATTTGAATGACTAATTGGTTCATTTAAATATGTAGTTAAAATGTCAAAATATTGCAAAGTAAGTGAACTTAAACTACATTAAAAATCGACCAAAAGGCTAGAACGTGCAAAAAGCCGGCTTAAGAAAATGTGCAGCCAGCTCTGGAAGGCAAAAATGCAAAGAGTCAGCTCTACAAATGAAAATTTGAAGTTCGTTGTTTGGTGTGCACAAAAAACGGATGCTAAGCCGGATTTAACTTTGCAGTAGGTTGGAAGGGCACATTTTATGCACAACGGTCGAGCTATTCGAAGATTAATTAATGTTTTTAAAGTCGGAATCCTAAAGTCGACTTTACGTTCTACAGCCGGTTGTCCAAGAAAATAGAATGTACAGTAAACCCACAAAACTAGCTTTACATTTTGCAGTCGGCTCTATGGAGAAAACAGAACGTGCATGAAACCCAACAAGCCGGCTACAAATTTCTTTAAACCGATTGTGCTTACAATTCTGTAATTTGAAATTACACATCCTACAGAGCATTAAATGACCCCCAACTGTTAGTAATGGTTATTTTCGATCATGGGGCTATAAATATGGTTGGTAACAGATCTTAAATAAGTTTTAGAGCATTGCATTGAATATCTTTACCTACCTACTTGTAACTTAACTTGAGTTTTTTTTATTTTTGAGAGATCTTTACTTGTAATTCTCTTCTTATTCTATTTGTGAGTAATCTTAGGGGTGTGATTAATCCTTCAAGAGTGATCTATAAAAAGGATTCTTGGGATTTATATTGTAAAGAGGTGAGGTTTGAGAAAAATACTCATCTTCTTGTGAAATAATTGAGTAACTCCTTTAAGCCACCCTTGTTTTCTTAGTGGAGAGTGTAGAGTAAATCCTTGCTAAGTAAAGCCAAAGTAGAGGATTATACTCCATATGGTTGGATCGAATCTCTATAAAGTTATTGAACAAGCTCTTCTTCTCTACTCTCTTTAATTTTGGTTTTGTGGTTGCAAAAGAAGATAATTTTTGAAATTCTAATTCACCCCCTTTTGGAGTGCATTGAATCAACATAATTAATTAATATAACATTTTTTTATATATTTTATTTTATAATCTACTTCTAATAATAATTTTATTTATTTTTTATTACATTAATTATATATTTTAATCATTAAATAAATTATGTCATTGATTCCAAATTTTGTACTAAAATTTCAACCTCCTACTATTACTCTTCTTTTAATAAGCAATTACATTCCAGTAACTCCAAGAGTGGCTTTGATAATTCTAGTTTTAAAAGATGGGCAAATAGCTCCCCTAAACTAGACTGCAAACATTTTTGGATTTTTTTAATTTAAATGTAATAAATATATATTTTTATTATAAATTTATATTTAAAAAACAAAAATTAATCCTTAATTTATTAATTATTTAATTAAATTTATTAAAATTAATATTAATTTTATATTTTTTTTATAGACATTAATAACAAAATTATACCAGCAGCCTAGGATAGGAAAGCCCAACATTTTTAAGGGTAAAGCGTTAGTTGGGTTGGGTCCAGTTAGCATTAGCCCAGATGACTGGATAGGGCGACGCTAACACGTAAGCAATACTGGCGCCAAAACTTCCCGCCAAAAAGAGTGTTGGTGCCCTAAATCCCGTGTAGGGATTCTGAGGATCCCATACCCGAGGAATTTGAAGCTAAGAATTTTGAGAGAATGGCTGGAGACGATTCCGACAATGTGCCGTCGGCATCCGAATCACCGACTTCGGCAGGATTCAACACGGATCAGTTGCCCAATAATACCAGCCAGCCGTCCGACGACGAAGAGGCTGCCGTCGATCCCCAAGTCATTCCAGATGAGCCGGAGGAACTCGAGGCCGAGGAAGAGGATGAAGGAGAGGATCTGTACAACGACAACTTCATGGAAGATTATCAGATGGTAGATGAGGATGACCAGTACGAGCCCCTTGGATTGGATGACTCGCTCGAGGATGAGAGGGACCTGGATCAGATCATGCGGGACCGCAGAGCTGCCGAGTTGGAGCTTGATGCTCGTGATGCTCGATTCTCCAGTCGCAAGCTTCCCGAGCTTCTCCTTGACCAGGGTATGCTTTGGAATTTCTAATACAGGCCTCTGCTTACTTTAAAGACTTCTTTTTCCTTGAAATGGTGAATTGGTTGAGAATCTATTTTCCTGTGGGATTGCCATTTTGGTCTTCTTGAAGAGCAATCAAAGTCGATTTCCTTTTTTTTTTAACTTGCTAGATTTGACCATGATAATATCATAGTTGTACAGTTTGAACTATTCATTTGTACCCTCAGATTAAAATGTTCTTATTGAAAAAAGTTACCACTAATACTGAAGTGTTGAATGTTGTTATTTGATTGCAGATGATGATGACAACTATAGACCTTCAAAGAGATCGAGAGCAGATTTCAGGCCGCCAGCTGTTCCAAGGAGTTTTGATGATACGGATGGCATGCAAAGCTCGCCAGGGAGATCACACTCGAGGGATGATACACCCATGACTGATCACACCGATAATTATCAGGATGAGGTTTTGATATTTTCAATAATATTGGGGCTTTATCATTTGAATCTGTCTTCTCACCAATGGGTTTTTGTTTGCAGGATGAAGATGATGATCAAGGTGATTTTGAGATGTATCGTGTGCAGGGGACATTAAGAGAATGGGTTACTAGAGATGAAGTGCGACGCTTTATTTCTAGGAAGTTCAAGGATTTCTTACTAACATATGTGAATCCAAAGAATAGTCAAGGGAACCCTGAATATGTACACCTTATAAATGAGATGGTCTCAGGTAGAAACTCTGTCAATGCACTTAGCTTGTGAAACATTTTAAAAGCAAATGTTATGATGTAGTTAATGTTGCACATGCCCATTCCATGTGAAATGTTTTACTCACTGACCATTTTTTTTTTTTTTTTTTGTTTTTGGGCTATATCACTGACCTTTGTTCAATATTCAATATGGCATTTGCAGCTAATAAGTGCAGCTTGGAGGTTGATTACAAACAGTTCATCTATGTCCATCCTAATATTGCCATATGGCTGGCTGATGCCCCTCAATCCGTCCTTGAAGTAATGGAAACTGTTGCCCAAAGTGTTGTCTTTAATTTACATCCGAACTACAAAAATATCCATCAAAATATTTATGTCCGCATTACTAACCTACCTGTTTATGATCAGATTCGGAATATTAGGTTAGTTGGAATTGTTTTGGAAAAAGATACTGAACATTTCTTTCCTGAAGGTTTCAAGTTCACCTTTCTTTGGTCTCTTTCAGGCAAATCCATTTGAACACCATGATTCGTATTGGAGGAGTTGTGACCAGGCGTTCTGGGGTCTTCCCCCAGTTGCAACAGGTAAAATATGATTGTAACAAGTGTGGAGCAGTTCTGGGACCATTTATCCAAAACTCATATTCAGAAGTGAAGGTTGGTTCTTGCCCTGAATGCCAATCAAAAGGTCCATTCACTGTTAATATTGAGCAGGTGAAGTTTCAATCTCCTTCCATTTTTATTTGCTGCAAATTCTGTTGGAAAGAAATATATTTTGGGTACATTATTTCAGCTTGTATAGTTTACCTGCATTCTAACTAAAACCTACAAGAAAAGCAAGCTGCATTTATGATGTTCATATTTGTTTTTCCTTGTGTTGTTGCAGACAATATATAGGAATTACCAGAAACTTACACTACAAGAAAGTCCTGGAATCGTGCCTGCTGGTCGACTTCCAAGATACAAGGAAGTGATACTGTTGAATGATCTGATTGATTGTGCCCGGCCTGGGGAAGAAATTGTAGAATCCTATTCTTTATTTTCTCCTCATTGCCTTCCTTTGCATTTGTAGTCACTTATCATTATTATTTTTCTGTTCCATGCTATTCTTTTTCCAGGAAGTCACAGGGATATATACAAATAATTTTGATTTATCTCTGAACACAAAGAATGGTTTTCCTGTCTTCGCTACTGTGATTGAAGCAAACTACATTACAAAGAAGCATGACCTCTTCTCTGTGTACAAACTTACCCAAGAAGATAAAGAAGAGATTGAGAAGTTGGCTAAGGATCCACGGATAGGAGAACGGGTTTGTTTCTAAGGATATTTACTTGTCTACTGTAGTCTTATAGACCATTGTGAAATACTCTACTCAGAACATTTGATGAATCACAATCTATTTTCAGATTATCAAGTCCATTGCACCATCAATCTATGGCCATGAAGACATAAAAACTGCAATTGCTCTTGCTATGTTTGGAGGCCAAGAGAAAAATGTTGAAGGCAAGCATCGGCTCCGTGGAGACATAAATGTACTACTGCTAGGTGATCCGGGCACAGCAAAATCACAATTCCTTAAGTAAGACCCATCCTGTTCAATCTACACCGACTTCAAATCTTTTATAATTGATCACATATTTCATGCTTTCATCAATTTTCCTTTTAAGATATGTTGAAAAGACTGGGCAGAGAGCTGTCTACACCACTGGTAAAGGAGCCTCCGCTGTAGGGCTGACAGCAGCAGTGCACAAAGACCCAGTCACGAGGGAGTGGACACTTGAAGGAGGGGCTCTTGTTCTAGCTGATAAAGGGATATGTCTTATTGATGAGTTTGATAAGATGAATGACCAAGACAGGTAAGGGAATGCAGGCATTTTGTTGACTTGTTGAATGGTATAATTGAGCCAGTCTCCTATTTCCCTTCTTTCCCTTTCCTTTCTAGCAGAGAAAATATGATCCTTACAATAAAATTATTAAGATATAACTTTAATATAACTGCAATATAACTGTAATCAGGGTGAGTATCCATGAAGCAATGGAGCAGCAGAGTATTAGCATATCAAAGGCTGGGATAGTTACTTCTCTCCAGGCTCGTTGTTCTGTCATTGCTGCTGCAAATCCAATAGGAGGAAGGTACGGGAGTAAATAGGTTTTATTCAAGTTATAGAGCTTGTAAATTTTTTAACACAGACTTCATCATGAGATTTCTGATGAAACTGAGCATGTAATCCACCAAGAAATCAGGCTGGTTTTTAGATTTCCAATGTCTTTTAGAGGATTTATTTCTTTTGGACTTTTATTCACATTTCCATCAGAAAATTTACTAATAGCCCCACTTCCTCATTTCTTCCATTTTATGTATCTCTTATAGGTTAATCATATCAATTTACTGTCTCATGGTTTTTGCCCTTAGCCTCTGAACATAGTGACACTAATATATATATCTTTGTTTCCAGATATGATTCCTCGAAAACCTTTTCTCAAAATGTTGAACTGACAGATCCTATCATTTCTCGCTTTGACATCCTCTGCGTTGTTAAGGTCTTTGTTCTACTAGCTCAATATTATCTCTTTCTTTTGTATCTCAATTGATCAAATCTTAAGAGGTTAGCTAACTCGTGACTACATGCAGGACGTTGTTGACCCTGTCATAGATGAAATGCTTGCACAGTTTGTAGTTGATAGTCATCACAAATCACAACCAAAGGGTGCCAATATGGATGACAGATCTTTCAATGAATTCCAGGAAGATACTCAAGACACTGGTAGACCAATTGATCCAGAGGTTCTAACTTGAGATCCTACCCAGTCTTTTTATTCAGCCACTTATGGAAGTGTTTGAACTTGGTTCTTTACCTCAATAATCATTTGGCTGTTTTTCATATTCTCTTTTCAGATTCTTTCTCAAGATTTGCTAAAGAAATACATAACTTATGCCAAGTTGAATGTATTTCCAAGGATTCATGAGAAAGATATGGCCAAGCTTGCAAAAGTTTACGCTGATCTTCGAAAAGAATCTTCTGTATGGTTCCTTTAGTCTTTGTTCATTTTCAAATTTTGAATGTTAATGTTTGTTGTGTTGATAATTTGCATTAATTTTAACCCCTGTAGCGTGGACAAGGAGTCCCTATAGCAGTGAGGCACATAGAATCAATGATTCGGATGTCTGAAGCACATGCCAGAATGCACCTCAGGCAGCATGCCACAGAGGAAGATGTGAACATGGCAATTCGTGTTCTTCTTGAGTCTTTCATCTCTACCCAAAAGTTTGGGGTACAAAAATCATTACAAAAGGTATGGAATTGAACTCTTTTCACTATGTCTAGCCCTTTTCTTTCAACTGACCTTGTTTCTTCACCAATGCGACTGCAGAGCTTCAGACAGTACATAACTTTCAAGAAAGATTACAATGGACTATTACTCATGCTTCTTGGACAGCTTGTGAATAATGCAATGCGCCTTGAAGAAATAGTGCCTGGTTCTGCTTCAGGGCTTACCTATGTAAATGTGAAAGTAGCAGATCTGCAAGCCAAGGTAATGAGAGCTTTTATATTCTTCTTTCAATAATTTTAGTTTTTGCTTCTTATCATAACTTTTAAAAGATCTTTTTTTTTTTTTCTCTCTTTTGTGCAGGCTGAGGAATATGAAATTGCTGATCTGAGTCCATTCTTTTCCAGTAGGGAATTTAGAGCTCACTATCAACTGGATGAACAGCGGGGAGTTATCCGGCATCACTTCACTTCACAATGACTCATCATCGTTATTATTGCCTAATTCTCTATCTACTTATTTTGCTTTGAATATGTAAATGTAGATCCAACCTTCTAGCTAGTTAATTTTATTTCTCTGACGAGAAATGGTATTAGGACATTGATTTTTGTGTGCTAGAATTTGTAGTAGTGTAATTTTCCTGTTGCTTGAGAACAAACAGTGTTGGCAAAGAAAGAGTTGCAACATGTGTTCACTTTTTTTAGAGAAGCATAATTTTGAAAAAATATTGTGCAATTTAAATTAGACTGGACTGTACAATATTATACATTAGATGAGAGTTTTAAGGGTCTTTTCTCATTTAATGATTTATGTTTTACAATTTGATATAATTTTTTTTTTTTTTTGACAAAGACAATGGTTAGTAAGTTAGGTTAGTTGATTATTAAAAATTGGGGATCGATCTCTAGACAAGGGTGAATACCACTAAGAAGCGTGGTCCAACCAGTGGGTGATATGGTATAAACTAGAATTTTTTTATTAAAATGATCAAAATAGGCTAAAAAACAGGTTAAAAAATAAATAGTCAGCCTTTGAATTACAAAAATCAATCTAAGTATATAATCTAATGCATAATTTACAAAAAAATAAAAAAATAAAAAAAAATAAAGAAAAAAGAAAAAAATAAAGAAAAAAAAGGAGTTAGAAATTAAAAAAGAAAATAAAATAAAATGGAAGAAAAGAAGCAGTCAAAATTAAACGAGAGCATAACAAAGCAGCGTCATGCGTGTGTCGTCGGTGATGGTGATGGATCCTAAGGTTTTGATATTGCTTTCGACGTTGCTCTCTTCTTTCAGGATCACAGCTTCTAATCTGGTAATTGCTTACTCTTCTTCTACCTTTTCCTTGTAATAATTTCCAAATGATTGAATTCAGCCATTTTACAATCTTCACAGATCTTTTATGAGCCATTCAACCACACATTCGAGGGCCGCTGGACAGTGTCTCAAAAGCATGACTACAAAGGTCAGTACTCCACCAATGGCTTCTGCTTTTGATACTTCTGTCGTCCTAGAAATTTACCAATCATTTTTTATTGATTTTATGGTATGTTTTGAATCTGACCATCTTGTTAGTCTTAGACATGTAGGCTTTCTTATGATCTCTACTTGGTTTTATTAGGAAATTTTATATGTGTTGAATTCTGTTTTTATATTACATTAGGATTATGGCAGCACTCAAAAAGTGAGGGACATGATGACTATGGACTCCTTGTCAGTGAGAAGGCAAGGAAGTATGCCATTGTGAAAGAGCTGGATCAGCCCTTCTGTCTTCGGGATAAGTTGGTGGTTTTGCAGTTTGAGGTCCAGCCACAAAAAGGGCTGGAATGCGGGGATGCATACTTGAAGTATCTCCGATCACAGGAGGCTGGATGGACACCGGAGGAGTTTGATGAGAAGTCTCCGTACTCTATTATGTTTGGACCTGACAAATGTGGATCTACTAACAAGGTTCATTTCTTTCTTAATCTCAAGAATCCCATGAATGGGGAGTATTTTGAGCATCATCTCAAGTTCCCTCCATCTATGCCTACAGACAAACTAACCCATGTCTATACAGCGATATTGAGGCCTAATAACGAATTGGGGATTCTGATAGATGGAGTGGAGAAGAAGAAAGCAAAATTTCTCTCAGATGAAGATTTTGAGCCATCGCTAATTCCCCCCAAGACAATCCCTGACCCATATGATAAGAAACCAGATGACTGGGACGAGCAGGTAAAAATTCCAGACCCCCATGCAGTAAAGCCAGATGATTGGGATGAGGATGCACCCATGGAAATTGTAGATGAAGAAGCTGTGAAACCTGATGGCTGGTTGGATGATGAACCGGAGGACATTGATGAACCTGGTGCTGTAAAGCCAGAAGATTGGGATGATGAAGAGGATGGTACATGGGAGCCACCAAGTTCAGAATCCTAAGTGTGCCTTAGCTCCTGGTTGTGGTGAATGGAAAAAACCAATGAAGAGAAATCCTGCTTACAAAGGAAAGTGGCATGCTCCTCTTGTTAACAACCCAAATTATAAGGGGCTTTGGAAACCTCGAGAGGTCCCAAATCCCAATTACTATGAGATTCATAAACCTGATTTTGACCCAATTGCTGCCATTGGTGTTGAGATATGGACAATGCAGGATGGCATATTGTTTGACAATATTCTCATAACTTCTGATGCAAAGCTTGCAGAGTCATATAGAGAAACAACATGGAAACCAAAGTTCCAAGTTGAGATGCAGAAACAAAAAGCTGAAGAAGCTTGGACTGGTCTTTCAGATGCAGTATCTAAGTTACAGGTAATCTTTTATTTCACGTTTATTGCTTTCTGTTGTATCTAGTCACAAGAAAAACAATAAACAGCTGGGTCTATTTCCTGCAGAAGAAGGTTTTTGACATTTTGTACAAGATAGCAGACATTACTTTCTTGGAAGCTTACAAATCTAAGATCATTGTGAGTCATGCATACCAACTTATGAATCATTTCTGATGCTTTCTAGGAAGATATATATTCTCATTAAGATCTTTCTTCTTATGCAGGATATCATTCGGAGGGCTGAAACCGAACCTCAATTCACAGTTGGTCTTCTTGTTGCCTTTGTGGTTCTTCTGCTGTCAATTTTCTTTGCAACCATTTCTGCGTGGAAAAAACCAAAGGTATTTTTTTTTTTAAATGGTATATGTCTACTCCCTGAAGCAGCACTGATGACCTGAGTCTACTGACGGTGAATACATTGGGAAGTTATACCAGAAAGCTTAAACCTGCAGAATTTGCAGGTCAAGGTTGCAGAAACTACGAGGCATGTTGCTGAAGGGACATCAATGGAGCACTCAAGAGACGGAAGATGAAAATGAAAAGGGAAAGGCTACTCTATCTATTGCTGCAGCTACTCGTACGTAGTACCATGTACTTGTCTCTCTTCATGTTCTGTTTCTATTTGATTTTTGAGATTTTCCTCACTTTGCTTTACATAAATATTGGCATCATCAGCTAGTTGTGAAGCTCGAGTAGGCATGTTGCTTTCTTGCTTTGCTGTATTCTCATCCAGCGCTTGTCTTCGATCAACTGCCTTTATCTAGTGATTTCTTTGGTTTTAGATCCATTTATCATAAACTGCATGTAATATCCCAAAATTTTGTGATATTTTAGCATTTAAGTAAGGGTTTTTGTGAGAAAAAATATTGTTTTGGGGTCTAATA